GCTAATCACATTCCAGCCATCTACCCGGAACGGCCTTTGATCCCAGCAGTTCCTGGGAAAGTAGCCATTACTAGATGTCTATCTTCAGTTTCATTTACATGGGAGAAAAGAAAATAAATTGGCAAATGGATGTCTTCATGTTCTCAGAGCTGGCCTCCACCCAGTTTGTGCCCAGAGTCCTCAGAGGCTCCTGGGAGGGCACCAGCCCCTGACAGACACTGCCCTGGAGCCACTCGGAGGCCTGGGGCCGAGTGACATCTTACACCTCCAAGGAAGGCATCCAAGGTGGGCACCTGTGCATGGCATATTTTCAGGTGTAGGGAGGCATTCTTCCTTCTCTTTTCTTTTTTGTTCATTGAACAAATGAAAGGACTTGGGGGGGGGGTCTCAGAAGTAGTGATATCATTTTCTTCCATTACAAAATAAAAGCCTATGAATGAACATCCATAGACTAGTGAAAAATAAACACATTTCACTGGTTACCCATAAGTCCATTGTTCTAAAATAACTAGAATGCTCACAGATTTCCTTCTATTTTACTATCGTATTGTTAAAAAAATGCTTTTGGTTAGACATAGTTGCTTTATGCTATTATGCATTCCACTGGGGCCCTGCTTTTTTCCCTTTTAATACATTTTTAACAGTTGCGTAATGTTCCGTCAAGGAATAGGCCCAAATTTATTTAATCAAATCACTGTTAGATATTTAAATTGTTTCTAGGTCACATGGTGGTAATCAGCTTTCGTTTTCCATTTTGGAATTACTTTTCTTTGCACAGATGCCAAGACGTGGAACAATTGGGCCAAAGGGTTGAATCATTTTATGCTTGTGAGCCATTTTTCCATATTCCTCGAATTCTTTTCTCAGAGGGTTTTTGCCTGTTTATGTTCTCACCACCCCTGGCACACTCTTTAGCCCTGGGATCCTGGGATTTGTTATTTAAAAGTGATCATTAAATAGTGACAGAGGAGGTCTCACGACTGCTCTATTTCTTTTCTCCCTTCCCCCCTTTCTTCCTTTTGATTTCTAGTGAGTTGGAAGTTTTCCGCCTGTTAGCAACAGCTGACCACAGGCCCCCTGATGCCCTAAACTAGGCTTCCAGAAGTTTCCAGTGTCCAGGAGGCCCCCCTCTGACGGCCCTAGAATATGGGTGCCAGGCTTGCAGGAGACCCAGAGACCCCAAGGGCCTCTTCGTGTCTGAGAAAGTAACTCATAGTTTTCACATCTGGAAATGGTGGGTGTTACTCCCTAAGGGCCTTGTCAGCTCTTGTGTCCTAAACGCCTGCTCCTGCGATGACCTGGGCCTGGTGGGTGGGGTTCCTGGGTGTCTCCTCTTGGGCACGTTTTGGACTCTCTGTTCTCACTGTACCTTTTGTTGCCCTGACCATCTTCCAGACTCAGAGGACGGAAAGCTGCCTGTGTGCCACGATCCCCCAGGGAGCCACCCCAGATTTGGCCCCTTGTTACGTACTGCGACAGCAGACATTCCTAAACCTGTATCCGCCGGCCTGTTGTGGGCTGTCATGATGTGTCAGCTTTACCTGGGTGACAAAGCTCTCATTTACCTGGTCACAGGGCTGGGCTCATGCCCTTCTAGCCATCAGCTTTCTTTCCTGGAAATTAGAGGAATACCCTATGTCTAACCCCTCAACGAGCTAGGTGTGCACCTGGCCAAGGGCCTTACCACGTGGAGGGGCCCCAGGAGGGGAGGAAACCGACCCTGAAGAAGAGTGGAGAATGGCCAAGACCATGGCATTGGGCCCGCGCTCTGAGGCCCTGCAGGTCTGATTGCTACAGTTCTCTCTTTAATCCTGTGACCCACTCCCCATCCTAATATCCTGTCGGCCAGGTGAACTGGTAAGTCCCCTTTTGTGAATTAAGCTAGTTTGACGTACACTCCTTGAGCTGCTCATAAATCACCCCACTAACACACTTCCCGAGAACGCTTTTCCTCTTTATTCCTACTTGAGGTCCTCCCAGATTTATCCTTTCTTATTTTGTTTGTACGTACGTGTTTCTTTTGAAATGTTTTAGATTCAAAGAAGGCTGCCAAAACAGAGGTCCACTTACCCTTCACTGAAACTCTCCATGGTGACGTGTGACGTAACTGTAGTTCAGTGTCAAAGCCGGCCAACTGACGTCAGTATAATCCACCACTCCTTTTTTATTTTTTGGGAGAACACCTAGCCGTGCTTACAGGTACAAGAAGCTAACTGCTGCACTCAGGACATTTACAGCCAGATGAGGAGCAGCACAGGTATGACGTCTCACACCTGGGCAGGTACAGTGTGCTCCCCTCACCGTGCACTCGCTACGTCCCAGTAAACCAGGCACTTGGCGTTTAACTCCTCAAGCCTCATGACAGCACTCGTAACACCATCGTTCTTACATGATCGTTCCTTTTACAGAGAGAAGGAAACAGCGGCTCAGAGAAGTTAAGCAGCTTGCTGAAGGTCACAAAGTTGGTAGGGAGCGGAGCTGGAGTTTGAACCCACGAAGCCTGTTTTCAGGGTGCTCAGCCCAGCACTGTGCCATTGATGGGATTACGTGCAAGGGGAGGCTTCGTTTCCTGGGCCTTTCTGGACCTTCTCTAACGCCCCACTCCTCTTTCTTTCTCGTGCCCGCTTGGGTCCCCGGGCTTAGCCGCTTTAACAGCTCTATTTATGGCCCTCCCAGGCTGTGCTCTAACGGGGAGGCGTTCCCTAGGTGCAGCCCCCAGAAGACACCACTTCCCTCTATGCAGCAGGCAGTGCCAGGACAACACCATTTTCAAAGATTGTTGGTTTTGGAGGGCCAGGTCCTAGCCTCACTCCCCAGGGATCGTTTGTGGGTGGTTTAGTGCTGGAAACCAACAAACAGATAAACCAAAAACTGCCCAAAACAAAACAAAACAAAACAAAACAAAAAATCCAAAAACCAAATGCCGGAGGAAGAAAGCCTTGCGCAGCAGAGGGACACATTTACTTGTCAGCTCATGGCTTTAGCTCTCAGCCTCGGGTGGTGAACGTGGTGGAGGTGGGAGCTGGTTGTCACTGTTGGTGCCTCACTCTGGGGGTGGGCAGGGCGGTGGGCATTTAGGAGGACAGGGTTTGATGCAGGGTTTGGGAGCCGGGCATGGGCACGGCGCAGGGCACGGGCACAGCGCAGGGCATGGAGGGCACGGAGTGCATGGCCGGGGGCCTGGAGGGGGGCATGGGGGGCACTTCGGTGGTGCCGGGCACTTTTCCCGTGGGCACTTTTCCGAGCACCGTTGCAGCAGCTTCTTTAAACAGCTGGGCTGGCATTTGGCCTCACACTTCGGTTCACAGCTGGGGTCACAGCTCTTGGGCTCGCTCTTGGGTTCACTAGGTTTATTCTGATCATCACTCGACATTCTTCCTTGATTTTCTGGGCCCTGCAAAGAAACATGCGCCCGTTTGTATGTGGGTGACCACACTGCAAAGTGGGAGAGGACCCACCCGTGTGGCCTTCCTCCTCACCTTCTGCCCATTCTTGTTCTTAAGAAAGTCTTTCCTGCTCCCTTCAAAACAGTCATGGGGATTAAAAGTACAGCACAGGGAATATAGTCAGTAATATTGTAGTGACTGTGTATGGTGCCCGTGGGTACTGTTCTAATCAGGGGGATCAGTTATAGAAATGTCTAACCACTATGGCGTACACCTGAAACTAATATAAAATAATATTGAATGTCAGAAAAAAAAATCCTTTCCCAGGATGTGTTTAGGCTCTAGACCAAATTCTCATTTCAGGGCCATCCTCTTGTTTTCGTAGTGGATTGGTGACTACAGTCCTTGATCTGTCCATTCTTTTCATGTACTCATCTCCATTCCACAGTCCCTAGCAGGAGTTCTTAACCCAAGAACCTAGGACCACCCCGCCAACCGTAAGAACCATATTTAACGAGGTCTGTATCAATATCATTGGTGTCTCCTGTAACTTCATGTGTTTTATTTAATTCACTTAAAGAGTTCATGAGTTTGTTTGCTTTGTTTTTTTTTTTTTTTTTTTTTTTTTTTTTTTTTGCTGAGCCATCCTGCTACCTGTTGGCAGCTCAGCGGCTGCTCAGCTCAGGCTGGGACTCGAACCTCTGTTGCTCAGAGCTCAAACTCTTGAGCGAGCTCTTAACCAACTGAGCCACTCGGCCGGCCCTAAGAGTTCATGAGTTTGATGAGACTGCTAAAGGCATCCCTGGCACAAGAAGTGTTTTAAAGAACTCCCATAAGGCCACTGCCCCGTTGCTCTGGAGATGGATTGGGAGGGCATATTACTGAGCTTGGGGACCCAGGACACTTCTTTCAGTCGCGTGTCCAGCCTAAGCCTTCAGAACCGTGAGAATCGCTTTCTTCACTCGAGGACTGGAGATGGGAAAATGGTTGAATCGCTATTATGGCTGGTCTCCCATGGACCACGCGAGGACCTCTTCTCCCAGTGACTAGGATAAGAGAGGAGGTGGTAAACTGGGAAATTCTAATTTCTCTGAAAATATGTTAGAGCCACAAAATATGATTTTTAAGTAGGACTTCCTTTTTCCCTCTGTTGAGCTTTGCCCTGAGCTAGGTCTTCCTCGATGGACAGTTTGAGTTCTAGATACAGACAGGGATTTTCAGTCTCTTGCGAGTAGGATCTAATTGGCACCGTTTGATTTCTTTTAACAATATAAAAATACAATTTTATCTACTTTAGTCTTAAGAGCAGAATGGCTCCCTGGAGAGACAGATTGTTTAGTTGGACTCCAAAATTGTTAAGAATCTCTCTTTCAGATAAGGCGTAGCTCAGTTCTTGCTACTGAAAACGAGAGGAAGCCTTCACCTGAGCATAGCCATCAGCGAACCCTGCTCAGCACCTGGAGCGCTGTAGGTCACTCCCAGGACAGGACAGGTAAACTTAAGGGGGGCATTTCCAGTTGTAAATGCAACTCACCCCTTTGTGTTGGCAGTGAACTTGACAAGTAGTCGAGTGAGGTGGATGGGATGGCTGTGCTTGGGAAGGTGGAATTTCCCTCTGGTTCCTCTGCCCTGCTCTGAGGAAGCCAGGGGTGGGATGAAAGGGGAGCCCCACTTGTGACCTCATCACTGCATCATGAGGTGGTGATTGTTGTGTGACTCCAGAGTTCCCAGCTCAAGTCAAGTCCTTGAACAGGAGAATGGACTGTGATCACTCACCCCCTTGCTGTCTCATCCCCTTCCTGGGTCACTCAAAATTCATGCTGGTGAAATCAGACCATGGTAAAGCCTACAGAACTCTAAGGATAAGGGGTCTGGTTGTTGCTAGGAGCACTAAAGGGGTCTCTCTTTCCTCCCCCAGCCTCTCCAATTCTAACTCCTTTGAACTTGCCTCTTCCCCCCCTTTCTAGGACACTGTCTTTGGATTGATGACAGCCATTTTGACCCTGCTTTCCTCCCCATTTTTCTAATATGAGATCCTGAAACTTTTTGTTACCACCACACTCCCCGGCCCAAGTCCAAGGATTATTTTAACTCTTTTTCTCAATGTCTCTGCCTAGAATTTGCTGTTTGTTGGACTCGGCGATTTTTTTTTTCATGGAGGGTCTGGCCACCCCTTGATACCCAAGGTCAGTGCTGCGTATTGTAAAGAAATTGAGTTTGATGCTTCCGACTGTCCTGACCTACTGGGTTAACCGCAGATCCTGTCTTAGAACACAAAGGTTTGCTCTCAGAAAGTTTCTTCCTCACCTTTCCTAAGTCCTGGCCAGTGGGTCCTTGTGGCTGGAATAGGGGTTTGTCTGGGGTGGTAATAGGAATTGGCGTGGGAAAGGTAAGTGGGACTCAGACACGTAATGCCTTGAATTTAGCTCCAGGAAGCTCATCTTGGCATCCATTCTCTGATGAACCAGGAGTGACTTTTGGTTCAAATTGTGGTATGATCATATTTAAGATGTTGAGAGATATTTCTGAAAGCAAAGTGTGAGGTAGATTGGGGGAATGGAGTGGTAGACAGCTGAGCAAGCCTGTTGCAAAGAAATTATAAAAATCTCCAAGGCTGAAGGAAGGCAGTGGTAGTGGTAGAAAGACGGTGCCGATGAGGGGGACATTGTCAGAGAGGCAAATTGATGGGATGTGGTTAATAGAAATTCAGAAGGAAATTAGGCAGATGACTTCTAGGTGTTTTGGGCGCTATGGGCACTGAGGAAACAATAGGTTTGTGTTAGAAGGTGATTTTGAGTCTGAGAATGTCACGTGTGGTTACAGTGTAGCATCTTATATGGTTACGGACGGGACCTTGTGCCACTGGGCAGACCTGAGACCTTGAGTTCATTTGAGTCCAACACGTGTTTACTGAGTAGATGAGGGTGAGCTGGTCCAGAGGGAGGATGGGGGAGAGGTCTTGGGGAGGGTGGGGAACCCCAGTATAGGGTTTATTTGGTATTCCCAGTGGATAAAGAATGTCATCTACAATTGAAACCCAAATGAAAGAAGAGGGTGGGTCAGAATTTAGCCCCCTGCCCTGCCGGTTAATTGGTATGAGCCCCACTGTGCGCAGACCACCCGTCTCTACTCATTTTCTTTCCTCCATCACTTTGAGCTCTGTCACTTCAGATCTGTTGAGAAGCAGTTCCCACACACACCCATCCCAGGGGACCCAGTTCCACCTGCTGTGCAGCTCTGGACCAAAGCTCAGTAATTGGGATAAAGTCATTTGTGACGGTGGTGTCAGAAGGTGTCGTTCTTTCTACTGGCTGTTGTCTGGCTGTTGTCACCTTCCTCTCTCTCTTTTCTTCTCTCCCATTTCTTGCTCAAGAAATTCCCACTGAACGGAAGGATGACATCATCCACTGGACTGTCACCAGGACACTTGTCCATCATGTTTTCAGTCTCTAAAACCTTCCTTCAAAGGTCCAGCCTCCTGGCAGTGTTACGTTTAGTATCCTAGCTATCAGCCTCACCTTTGGCTTAGGGTTTTGTTAGCAGCTGGTTGGCAGCAAGGTGCTACTGAGATGAAACACAGACCAGGCTTCTTGGGCTGCTGGGTCTCAGGAGGAGAGAGGCTGGAAGGGGAGATGGGTGGGTTTAAGAATGAGGGTCCTGGAGTCAGATCTGTGGGTTCAAATCCTGCTTCCATCCTTTCCTTACCAAATGGCACCTGGTAATTGACTTAACCTTTCACGTCTCAGTTCCCTCATCTATCAAGTGTGATAATAATGGTACCTATGTTAGCTGCATGTCTGTTAATATGTAGCTTATATTAAGTGCATATAACATGCCAGGCACATTTGTAAGTGCAGAGCTTACTCTCTCATTCATCACACCGCCTCTCTTTGCTCATAGGCTGTTGTGAAGATGAAGTGAAATTGTACATGTGAAGAGCCCCCAATAAATGGTCACTATACATAGGAGTTATTATTTTTGTCAGGGCTTTCTTGGCTCTGTCATCCCTTGGCTAGCTGGACCTCTCTGCGCTCTCTCTCTCTCTTTCTCTCTCTCTCTCTCTCTCTCTCTCTCTCTCTCTCTCTCTCTCTCTCTCATTTTCTGTTTTTGGCCCTGAAATCCATCTTTCTGTCATTTTCTCCCCGCCTTCCAGCCAGAGTTCCTGGTGGTGTTCATGGGAAGATTAGCTATTTCAATATTACCTGTTAACGAATGATTTCAGTTCGGAAGGGGAGCTGATAAATAAGTGTTATTGGAAAAAGACAGTAATTTAAACGTTTGCTGAGGCCAAAGAAGTCAGCGGCCCATTCAGTGGTTCCCCTGTGCGGGCCTGCAGGCCCCGTATGTCCCTACATTGGACCAGGCCAGGGAATTCTAGGTGTCAGCAGTTTTAACTTCACTGGGATCCCCCTCTCTGTTTTTTTTTTTTTGAAAACAAAACAGAGAAAAAGGTCAAGTCTTTCTCTTTTTCTGTCTTTTTCTCTCTCTCTGTGTAATTCTTGTTGAATAAGCAGGACTCACAGGATGAAGTCAGAAAACAACTCGATTTAACACCCTCTCTGTGGGGCTGGTCCTTCCCGTGTATATGCCATGAGATGGGGCCTCCTGGTGGGACCTCTGACCGATGCCATTGACCTTTAGGGTCGTGCTTAGACAGTAAGAAGCTTTCTGGTCCCTTCTAGTTATAAACACGATCTCATTTCAGGAATCAGGAGGTAACTTTCCCTGGAGGTTGGCTTGCTGTTTCTTTGCCACTTGGGCCCAGGAAGGAGAGCGTCTTTACCATCTGCCGTTTGGGTGGGAGGCTGAACTCTAGGGACGTGCTTGTTCTTTGCTGCCCATAGCAGCCCTTCCGCAAAGCGAGGGAGTGAGTTTACTGATTCTTCCAATTGTTGGGATTCTCTGTTCCAGCGAGTCATTTGGAAACTGGGGGAATGACCCCAGGATTGGTTTCGGTCCTACTGACTGGATTCCTGGGTAAGCACAGGTCAAAATTCCAATGATCACTGGACTCTGATACTCATTTAGGTGGAGACCTGGCTGCTTTACCGAAGCATTAAAGCTGTTGGCTTGACCAGTAAACGGAGGCTGAAACCCTAGGAGGACTTTCGTATCTCACATCTGTGTTATTGTGTCATCTCAGGCTCAGGGACCCTGGAGCCCTGCCCCGCAGTGACCCACTCGTCCAGCAATTCTCAAAATGTGAGGCTCGTGGGGGTTCCCAAGATGTTATCAGTGGGGTCTATGAGTAAAACCTGTTTTTACAGTGATGTTAAGGTAGTGTTTGACTTCTTCACGCTCATGGAGTCATGAATACACTGCAGAAATGGCAGAGACGACGTGGCATGTGGGGACATTGCTCTGACAGCCAGAGCACTGTTACTTGTGTATAATGTGTTTTGGAATCTTCAGTTTTCATTTTTAATACGAGAAATACCAATAGATAAAATTCACTCTCCACCCCCCCCCACCCCCGGCCATGGTGAGTCCTTCTCAGGAAAGGATGGACGCTGAGTGTAGAGGTGCGCTTGGGGTCAGCTGGCGCTCCAGGGTCCTTCCAAGGGCTTCCCGCTGAGCCTTTTGCGGCCCTTCTCAGTCCCCAATTTGACCCTCTGTGGCTTTCTCCCAGCCCCAGCAAGAGGACAGAGACACGCCAATCAGGGATACAAGTTTTTTTTTTTTATTGACAAACAGGGAAGAAGGAACATCGCAGAGCATGGAATACTTTTACTGGATTCAAGGTCCAGAGGGAGGGGTGAGCTTTGTTAGGGGTTGTGGAAATGATGAGGGAGAAAATACAGACAAGAACCCCATTGCCTTCACTAAAGAGTGTGCAGCCGTGCTGTGAAGAACTCCGTACATTTTTCGATTGATTGAAACAGTGTTCTTGTTTGCATTTTTCAACCATGTTTGCTCCTGGAAACCTTTATGAAGTTGTCGAATCCCAGAAAGGCCAATGGCTGAGCATGAAAAGCCGTGTCCTTGTAGTGATCTCATATGACCAGCAGGGGGCAGCGTGGTAACGGGCGCCGCAGCTGGAAAATCCCACTTGGTCCTGAGCACACAAACAGGTCTGGCATCTAGTGAAGGTTTTGAGAACATGG